CAATCCTGCCTAGTCTGGCAATCAGACGGACAGTAGCTGCCCTAGCTTGTTTATACAAGCTACAAGTAATTACGGGCCCACCTCAACTTCTCGAGGTTCTGCCAGCTCGCCGTCAGCAGTCGGCCAACCCGCGAACCCGGAGCGACCATGCCAGCGCTGCTGGCCACCGGTTTCAACTGGACGCCAGCCTGCCAGCCTCTACCCCGTTAGTCCTGAAGCGATCATTTCCCCACTGTGTGCTCCACCAGTGGAATGCATTGCCCTGTGATCTGCTCCTGCATCCTCCCCATCGCAGCCGAATGCAGGCATTCAAGACGCAGGTATACCGCTACCTGCGCGCCGAGAACTGGATGTGGGCTACTGACTCAGTCTAAACTCAGTATCTACATATAGGTATTGCTCTCTTTTTCCTTGTTTTCTCTACTCTCTGTCTCTCTCTCTCTGTCTCTGTCTCTCTCTCTCTCTCTCTCTCTCTCTCTCTCTCTCTCTCTCTCTCTCTCTCTCTCTCTCTCTCTCTCTCTCTCTCTTTCTGTCTCTCTCTCTCTGTCTCTCTCTCTCTCTCTGTCTCTCTCTCTCTCTCCGTCTCTCTCTCTCCGTCTCTCTCTCTCTCTCTCTCTCTCTCTCTCTCTCTCTCTCTCTCTCTCTCTCTCTCTCTCTCTCTCTCTCTCTCTCTCTCTCTCTCTCTCTCTCTCTCTCTCTCTCTCTCTCTCTCTCTCTCTCTCTCTCTCTCTCTCTCTCTCCGTCTCTCTCTCCGTCTCTCTCTCTCTCTCTCTCTCTCTCTCTCTCTCTCTCTCTCTCTCTCTCTCTCTCTCTCTCTCTCTCCACACTATACTTTTCGCTATATATATTTTTCAATCGTTTTTGTTTCTCTTCTTCTCCCGATTTTCTGATGCGTGAAGTAGGCGCGGATGCCGAGACCATTGGTCGGCGGAGCCTGCAGCACCTCATCACCACCGCTGCGTTGCATTTGCAGCCCCATTCAGTCAATGTCTTGTTAGTCTGTTGTTTTGTCATTTCCTGCTTCTTTCTTCTTTTACGAATTGGGTGCGTGGTTTCAAGTAAAAAAAAATAAAAAAAACAAAAAAAAAACCTGTTGTTATGAGTGCACAATACGTAATTTTCATATGTAAAAATCAGCAGTGTTGTGTTTCGCTCTACGTGATTTCTCCGCGACTGCTAAGCATGCTTAGATGCTTTGGAGACCCATTGGCTGCATGCGCTCGCAGCATGCACCATGAAACAAAACGGCGTTATCCTTTTTGTTATACACGCCCAAGCGAAAACCCTGACGTAAAATATTCAGGTCAACCGTTCTTTTGGAAAAGCAAATAGCAACTGCAGCTATTGTCCTCTTCTTTACAAAATCCTGCTATTGTACAGATATACATGTAAACTTTCGATGAAGGAAACTGCTAATCAATACTGGGAGTTGCTAGTCAATTGTAAAACTGTGTAGCAGTGACTGCTATGCCAAAAATCAAAGTAAATCGATCCTTGCACGTTGTCTGTACCTTTTGTTTCGCGCGTGGCTTGAACGTTGCCATGGATACATCCGGAAAGCGAGAAAAGGGGATACTGTACACACATGATACTAAGTATTTGGAGTTGATAGTCCTAGTAAACTAAGTGTGAATTTGATAGAAAGCACAGCCTAGCAAGTAGCAACACGAGAGACACCTGGGGCATGCACTCCGTCCACTCATTCACCACACTGTGGCGCACCGTCGTCACACTACAGGTATTAGGGAGGTTGCTACGATATTGCCAAAGCTTACTAATAGTGTCACTTTGGCAGTGGTGAAACATACATGCCCACAACACTATCACATCGTGGAGGTTGGCTGGAGAGCGCAGTTTTGGTGTTATGGTTCTTGCGAAAGTAAGCTCAGGAGTTATTACATCATTTAAGGTGGCTGGGGCGGTACAACTTTTTAGGGGTCTTTTTGATCACATTTTGACTGCATTTTTGAGTTTATCGGCAAGGTGAAGATACAATTTGAAAATGTTTTCTGGTGAATCTCTGGAGAAGAGCCTTCTCTAGCTTCCTATAGTTTTATTTTTGCTTTTGGACAAAATTTGAAAAAGTTTTATGAAAGGTCCGTGAAAAAACAACACGAACCTTTCATAAAACGTTTTCAATTTTTGTCCAAAAGTAAAAATAAAACTATAGGAAGCTAGAGAAGGCTATTCTCCAGATATTCACCAGAAAACATTTTCAAATTTCATCTCTGCCTTGCGGATAAACACAAAAATGCAGTCAAAAAATTCCCCAAAAAGTTGTACCGCCCCAGCCACCCTAATGATCCACAGCAAGAGGACTGCAACGCCTGTAGTAAAATCAGATAAGATTTGGGTGTGACTTTATCTTGGTGACTTTATCTTTGTGGCTGCTCCTTGCAGGAGGAACTCAACAAGCTTCAACTTGCTGGTATCCAGCATGTTTGGACAGAGAGAAAGAACAGGAATCGCCATGACGAATACGATCTCCAGACTCACGTCACCAGGGAAGCTCAGGGGACTTTAAATGCCTTCATATGTGCTGCCAAAGGTAAGATAATAGAGAGGTTAAGGTGCACGTTATTTCTGACGTGACGCAAAAGTTCAGCTCGCTTTATTTGGCTCGCACGTCGAAAAATCAACGCGAGTGACCTGCTGCTCACTTCGAAATTTGTGAAATTGCGAGTCACGTCGGAAATAACGTACATCTTAACCTCTCTAGTCGCCAGGTAGCCCAAAATCGTGTCAATCACCTCCATGAATCGAAGATTCTTTTACGTACATTTGACCTACTCTATTCACAATGCAAGAAATGGAGAAAAAAACACATTGAGTGCTAACACGCGGAGATGGAAGATGACACTGGTACCGCCCATACGTGTACTGACGTCAACCATTGTATATACTAGAATGATTGTATAATGGGAATTGTGATACCGAAAGCGCAACAGATTCTAGCACTCTGAAATATGGAGTGTAGACATGACATAGCAATGAACAGGGCAATTTCTGCTGTCATTGCCACGCTACAACGAAGTCCTGAAAGTTTTCCAAAATCGATTTTCCTGTCACACTCTTTCTATTGCTAATGAGTGGTATGCATGGGCTTTGTGCACCCGTTTCAAGATGGAAGTAGGACCCACACTATTTTCCCGACAGCGCTTCAAGAAGATAATATTATATGACATGTTTCTAGCCAAGTTGCATTTGCACAGAGCATCATTCAGGATCTCGACCTGACTTCTAGAGTACCTCCGTTTAAAATATGCAAACAAAAAGAGAGCAAATTCTTCTGTCATCGCCACACTACAACGAAGTCATGAAAGTTTTTGTAACGGAAAGCGAGTATTTAGGGTGTTAGCATGAGAATCTGAGAATCTCCATGACGTTGTGTTGCTTGGCGGGTGCATAGGTCTAAAGACTTCATAAAATCGCGTCTGTGCGTGTTTGTTTGTGTATGTGTGCATGTGTGTGTGTACACATGCACGCGTGTGTGTGTATGTGACTTTCCTCTCCTGTGTTTTTTTTGTTTTTGATCGTCTACCTTCAGTTTACACGTACCAGAACGGGACTCTGGCCTTGGGATAGATTGGTGTCAGTTTCCCGCAGCTTGTCACTTTGCTGGAACACATTGATTTCTGCTTTTCCAACGAAACACAGCCCCCTAGTCGTGGCATGGAACATGCTTTGCTAAGCTTTTGCTCTCAAGTCACGTTCGCAAACGTGTTCTGATGTTCTTCGCCAATTTTTTGTTGTGCTCGTGTTCCTGTTTTTGTGGATTCTCGTTTGGCCCGCCCTTTGTTCGATTTGTATACCCCTGATTTTTCCCTTCCCACATCTCTCCTGACGAGGTCCTTCAAGATCCTTAGTATGTTTTTAGCGTATTCGATACCACTTTTTTGGAGGTTTTTGTACGGATATGTGGCCAAAACCATTCATTCATGGGCCTTTGTGTAAATATCTCTTCAAACTTTATTTGCTGTGTAACACACTGCCCTGTCGGTTTCTTCGAGTGGGCTGGTGGTGGTGTTGGTGGTGCTGGTGGCGGTGGCGGAGGCGGTGTTGGTGGTGTTGGTGGTGTTGGTGGTGTTGGTGGTGTTGGTGGTGGTGGTGGTGGTGGTTAATATTTATTATTATTATTTGTTTTACATCGGAAGCTCAACAGTGCAGCAGCACAAATATGAAGAGGCCGATGGGACCAACAAATAAAAAATAAATAAAAAAATGAAATAAACAACGTATATACATCAGTTTGAATCTCGGAGGTTGAGCCATAAATAAATGTAGAAAAGAAAAGCTAGGTGTCAGGACGTCGAATGTCTCAGTACTCTGTCAGTTTTGTGCCTAGTTATTGCACTTTCTGACTGTATTATATTCTCCAGCTACAGTGATGGATACGAGTTACTCTTAACTCGTAAACATTTGTCCTTTTCTTTTCTGTATCGACATTAGTGTAAACGTTTAGAAAGAAAGGGGGATAAGTAGTGAACATAAACATAAAAGAAGAAAAACGTATGCTGAATGAACCTGGGAAATATGTAGCTGGTGAGAGACTAAACGTTGCCAACGTTGTCAACCAAAATTGCACGATATCGTTCAAACCAAACTGGATCATCCAATCAGCGCTTAAAACCGAACTGAGAGGTAAACAAAGAGGATTTCAAGTCATTAGGTAGAGCATTAAAAACAGAGCAGCACGAAGCACAAAGAATTTTTGACAGAGTGTTGTTCTGCATTTTAAATAAGGGATACCATGTGTATCGCGACTACGCGTGCTCCGGGTAGATTGCGGGGCTGGGAATAACGATGCAAATACAGGCAAAGGGCAAACAATTTGATTAATGAAAATGAACTTCCCAGTTGACACCAGAAAATAGTAGTCCAGGGGCTTAACATCAAGGTTTTTTAGAAGACCAGAAATACTGTCCCGGCTCGAAGCCCCACAAGCCGCTCGGATAGCTCTATTGTACACGCTTACTAGACGATTGTGATCCTTCGCAGTAATGAGTGTGACGAAGGAGCAGATGCTGTACAGAATATCAGGAAGAATGACAGAGGATGTACTGACGGCTTGCAAGTTTGCTCAGTTGCCGGAAGGTGCGACGTAAGACACCCACCTTCTGGGATACTTTTCTAACAATTACATCGATATGCTTGGTCCTTGACATACAGTTGTTAACTTTGATACCAAGGAGACGAGTTTCGGTCACAAAATTAAGTGGTTGCCGGAAGGTGCGACGTAAGACACCCACCTTCTGGGATACTTTTCTAACAATTACATCGATATCCTTGGTCCATGACATACAGTTGTCAACTTAGATACCTAGGAGACGAGTTTCGGTCACAAAATTAAGTGGCTCACCTTGAAGGCTAATGACACTTGGGCGCGTCGTGGGGTTTCGGCCGGGGGAAATGATCATAACACCTGACTTTTTAACATTAACCATCATGTGGAGCTTTTGTAGCTCGTCACATAGTACATTCAGGCAGGGAATGACGGAGGCAATACCCAGTTCGAGTGAGGGGGTACTTCAGTAGAGGGTCATATCATCTGCGAACATGGGAAGGGAACATGTGAAGGAATCCGCTACGGTAGGGAGGTGGCTTATATTATAGACATTACAGAGTACAGGACCCAGCACAGTACCTTGCGGGACCCAACGCGAAACTGGGAGGACTCTGGATGCGGCATGTGGCAGGGTGACTTTCTGCCGACGATCACACAGGTATGAGGCGAACCATGCTAGTGCTGTCCCACCGATACCCTTGGCTTGCAGTGAAATGAGGAGGCACTGGTGGTTCACCCGATCGAATGCCTCACTTAGGTCTAAAAACACAATCATGGTAGTGTGTCCAGTATCCCGGCTCTCAGTCCACTGGCTTACAGCCTTGGTGACGAGTTGGGCAGTAGAGTGATGGCGGTGGAAGCCATACTGGTCTTGATGGTATGGGCACTTGTCGTCAACTGGCTGCTGGAGCTGTCTAAGAACGACTTTCTCCAGGGCAATTGCAATGACACTACTAAGGGATATGGGTCGGTACTGGGACGGGTCTGATCTGTCATTGCGCTGGGACTGGGCAAATGTTCGCTTCTTTAAACGCGGACGGGAGTATACCAGAAGAAAAGGAGGCATTAAACAGGATTGCTAGTGATGGGGCAAGAATGTAAGCGGCAGACTTCACAAGACAGGGCAGTATATTGTCTGGACCCTGGGTGGTGGTGGTGGTGGTGGTGCTGGTGGTGGTGGTGGTGGTGAAGGTGATGGTGCTAGTGGTGCTGGTAGTGCTGGTGGTGGTGGTGGTGGTGCTGGTATTGGTGGTTGTGGGTGCTGGAGGTGGTGGTGCTGGTGGTGCTGGTGTTGGTGCTGGTGGTGCTTGTGCTGGCGCTGGTGGTGGTGGTGGATGTGGTTGTGGTGGTGCTGCTGCTTGTAGCTGGTGCTGGTGGTGGTGCTGTTGCTGGTGGTGGTGCTGGTGCTGGTGGTGCTGATGGTGCTGGTGTTGGTGCTGGTGGTGCTTGTGCTGGCGCTGGTGGTGGTGGTGGATGTGGTTGTGGTGGTGCTGCTGCTGCTTGTAGCCCTTTCCCAAAGGTGCTGGCCCTTTTTTCGCCCTTTTTGGAAAAGCCCCTTTCTTTCGCCCTTTATTGCGTTTTTTGGTGAATATCGCCCTTTTGGAGCTTTTTAGCTGGTGGTGGTGGTGGTGGTGGTGTTTGTGCTGGTGCTGGTGGTGGTGCTGGTGGTGGTGCTGGTGTTAGGACTGCCAGCTGCTGGTGGTGGTGATGTTAGTGCAATCACTCCTGTTCATGTCAGCGGTGTTCTCCTTGATACGGGCACCCGGGTGCAGCGGATTCACTAGTGAAAGAGAATGTCCTTTAACAGTCTGATGTTCATCCGGACTCCCCCAGTGTTGAAGATACATTTGGTGTAAGTCGTCTGTATTCTGCAGAGAGCCGCCCCATGGAACTTTCGGGGACAGTGACCTTTTTCTTGCTGCTAGACAATTCCAGCACCCCTTTACAATTTTCAGCCATCATGCCCCTGATTTGCATGAAGACCTTTTACCAATTTTTAGTACAGAAAAGCCTCTTGTACGGTACGTGGTCGAAGCAAATGTGCTAACATAATTATAACATAAAATCTCAATACAAAAAAATTATCAAACGCCAAGAATTTAAGGGAAAGGCCCAATCCTGTGTTGCCATAACGGGGAACTGAATAGGCATGGGCGGGTGATGCTCATGATATGAGGATATAATGCCACTTATAATGCTCACACTACTCCATAATGCCAGTTTGAAAGTTGGAAAAGTCGATAAGAAGGCCGTCTTGGATCAAGGCCAAAGCGTAGAAGAAAAAAGCTTAAACAGCAGTGAGCATGTTGTCTGAAATAATCCACTGAGAAGGTTGATTTGCAACGTCAAGTCTCCGGACGAAGCCGGACGGGTTTTGGAACTGGACCTGGCCAGCTTCATGCATGACACCGTTGTCGACCTGCAATTATGCTTGTTATGCCAATTTTGCATGCGAAATGGTGTTATTATTATTATTATTATTTTATTTTATTTATTTTTTTACCCTAGTAAAATAAATAAAATAATAATAATAATAATAATATAATGCCAGCATTATGCCACCTGGAAAAAGGGACTGTAATGCCAGCCATCACAGCGGGTTGGTCAAAGACCATGATTGAGATACGAGAGGTACCTGGTTCAATTCCTACCTGGGAGCGGTTTTTCCAGCCGTGCTGCTACCCACAGTCAACTGGGAACTTGTGGCCAGGCACAAGGGGTACATGGATGCAGCTAATGGGGTCGTTTTCGGCACTTGTGCCAGTGGTTGTGAGACTTATCCGCTCACCCCCACCGTTAGGCGCTGCATCTGCCGCTAGGATTTACCGGGTGTTAGCGGCCGTCGTGAGTTCCCTTCGGGAACGGACACGATAATTTACTTTACTTAATGAAATCTTTACCAGCCGCTGCTGTAGCTCTCACACCACTGCCACTACGAGATCCCAGGTGTCTTTTTCTTTGGCATTACCCCCAGCGCAGAGTACGGCTGGCTTTTCTCGGATTGGCTATCTCGCTGCTGACCGGTGGAATATGCTGCCTTCCACTGTTCGTACTTGTACCGATTACCGCTCATTTATTCGCTCATGCATAACCTTCCTAGGGGCTCCCGTAAGAAGACCATAGGTCTGTGGGAAACACCCTAGTAAAATAAAAGTTAATAATAATAATAATAATAATAAATAATGCCAGCCATAATGCTAGCATTACCCGCCCATGCCTAGAACTGAAATCCAACAGAATATACCAAGATGGCACGTACAGACAGTTGGCGTCGACGTGGCAACAATCACCAACAAACGTAAGCACTAAGAATGTTGAAACAAGGTTATAGGAGACAAACAACAAGGAAGCAAGCAACGCATACAAAGAAAAACTCAGACAGTTAGCACAGTTATAGTCTAGGCCGCTAACCTTGACAGGCCGTGTTGCAAGAAGCCATGGTCTCGCCTACGACTATACAACGACCCCCTACACCCGCGGAAGCATGTTATGGCAAACGCAGCAGGGTAATTGACAGGAGGCTTCGAAGCTCGCCCATTACTACCGAGCAAACCAGCTCGCTATGTTTTTCCACCAGTTGGGATGTCCGTGCCTTCAAAAACAATGTTATATCTTTGCCGCCCATTCCGGAGGTACTGAAGACGAGAGGAGTGAAGGCTCCAAGGTCTACCCTGTTCACTCGATCGCAGTAAGTTTTTTTGGCCTTTTCATGTGCCTGGAGCTGACTTGGGACTTCCAAACGGGACAGCATGGAGGCTCTTGGGTGAGTGACAGAGGCCACCGTGGTCGATCTGCGGATCAAGGTGCTCGTGACTAGACGTCGGCGGATAATGCTCGAAAATCACACAGATTATGCTTTTCAGTATGCTGGCAATATGCTCTGAAAATCACTAAATTATGCTCACATTATGCTTCATGACACTGTGCTCTTTCATGTTTATAATGCCACTAAAATGTATAAAATGTGTACTCGGTATCAAATGTGGACTTCCGGAGAAAACTGCATGGAAGAAGATCTAGTATAGCTATGAATAGTATGAAGGCCGCATACATCACGCAACTACGTTACTTGTTCGACATGTATGACTGTGTATTTTAATTTAAGAAGATCTAGTCTCAGCTATGGAGAAGGAACCAGGATACGGCAATAGGCACTGCAACATCATTACAAGCATAATCATGTACAGAAATAATAGAATGCTGAGTGTTCATTGTAAGCGTATGACACAAGTACTGCTGATGTACATGGAGTTGCTTACCTCTCTTTCTTTCTTATCTTTTCTTTTCCTTCTTCTCACCCTTTGTTTGCCACGACGACCCCGTGTGCTGTCTGTGACTTTGAGCCTCATTTCACTTTACTACTTTTTTCTCTTTAAAGGGGAAGTTAAGGCAAAAATTAAAATTTCACCAGTTGTAGTCTTCGGGGTGCTGAGTCGAATGGTCTTGGTCCGAGGAAGCTGAGACGCTCCCTTCCTACTTGAATCCCAATCGAACTCGCGCCCTTCCACCGAAACTGGGTGACTGCGCCCTACGAGATGGGGATTTGTATGCAAAATGTCACTAAAAGCGCCATTTCGTTCTTATAAAAGCACGGATGACCGCGATTGGCCCATATGTTGTAGTCTTTTGGACGCTGAGTCGACTGGTTTTGGTCCGAAAAGGCTGTGATGCAGCCTTCCTCCTTTATTCCCAATCGAACATGGTTGAACAAGTGGTCACGTGCTCCTGGGTGCCCAAATCACCTGGTCACCACGCCAGCAGGTGACAACTTTCACACCAAGGTTCAACTCGAGTTCAACTCGAGTGACAGGACTGCACCCAAAAAAGGTCAAACAGGCTAGTAAGTTGTACCCTGCAGGCACAGTGACCAGGTGACTGGCGTACGCAGGAGCACGTGACCGCTTGTTCAACCATGTTCGATTGGGAATAAAGGCGGAACACTGCATCGCAGCCTTTTCGGACCAAAACCAGTCGACTCAGCGTCCAAAAGACTACAACATATGGGCCAATCGCGGTCATCCGTGCTTTTATAAGAACGAAATGGCGCTTTTAGTGACAGTTTGCATACAAATCCCCATCTAGTAGGGCGCAGTCACCCAGTTTCGGTGGAAGTGCGCGAGTTCGATTGGGATTCAATTAGGAAGGGAGCGTCTCAGCTTCCTCGGACCATGACCATTCGACTCAGCACCCCGAAGACTACAACTGGTGAAATTTTAATTTTTGCCTTAACTTACCCTTTAACGTTACGTAATACTTTAAACCAGGCGTGGGCCATCCACTGTACATACATGGTAACATGTAGGTGCTACCATTTTTCCTAGTTTCAATGAAATAGAATCAGAGTCACTGCAGTGACTTATGCATGACACTGCATTGAAAACATGACTTCAGATATGCATTTGGGAGAATAATGTGCAAGAAATTTGAAAACAATAACAGAAATACCAGTCGAACAGTTACTGAGAGTAGATCAGGCCCTTTCAAGGAGCCGTGCCAGATATATACCGTGGTATGGTACGACTCCCTGCCGAGTCCCGGGTGTAGATCTATTGACATTGATTCCCTTGCCTTTGTAACAAACAACGGACTCTGGACGGTGAACTTTTGACCTTTGAGTTTGAGGCCCTAGTGGTTTTATGCAGCAGTTATGCTGAAGGATCAACTAAATTATGCTCGGCAATGCTATTTTTCAGAAAGCCGTGATTATGCTCAAAATTATGCCGGCATTATCCGCCGATGAGTACTTATGACTCAACCGTAGCGGAATCGTTGGCTCTACCGGTCAATGACTTTCATCTTACCTCACAAACTTGCTCTGAGACAGCTTCCTGTTTGTGACTGAATTTTATTGTTTACCATTATTTGTTCGCCAGAGCAACAACAAAAGGAACACAATTAAGTCCACATTAGGGTCGGCAGGGTTGGGCCTTTTTCTTAATTGCAAAAATAATCATATCGTAGACGGGTGTAGACGGGGACGCAAGCGTACAAAACGACTGCATTTTGAGTGTGAACAGTAGACAGCGTCGCGCGCCGACTACTCCCGGTTCATTATTTGGCTGAAGGAGTTCCATTAATTCCGTGAGACTAAACAGTTCTAATTTCATACTTTAAATGACGGGGTACTACATGCAGGCACTACACCAGTATATAATACACTTTTTTTCTGAAACCGTTCCCAGAGCGGTTTTTCTATGGATACTGTCTAAAAGGTTTGCTCCCCACACCGGAGCTCGCGCTATTCCGCCGACTTTACTTGACGTCGCAACCACTACTTTGATACTGTCTACAGTAGGGTTTAGGGTCCGGCGGATTCTGCCGGCAGAAGAATTGGCAGAATTCGGTACTTTTTCTTGTAAGTTTCATGCATGTTTGGTATGTGGATAAAGAAATGGAGCAGAATTCGAGGAATTGGCCGCCATAAGGTTTGTATGGTTCTGCCAATTTCACTGCTTTTCGAGCAGAATCTGCCACCTTTTCTAGCAAAATCCGCCGGTCCCTAATACTAGTAGTAATAGG